GTATTTTTTTGTTAAACAACGCTCACTCGTAGTAGATTAAGACTCGTAGCGATTACACCAACGACTATCAATAAGAAGAACCATAACGAGATTATGGACGTTAGAGATTCGGCAAACCTTCAAAAGGTAAAAGCTTACGTCTCTTTTTCTTTCTGTTTCTCTCCATCTTACTATACTCGTCCTAGCGTATAATTGGACTAATACCAACTTTAAAGTTTTGCGATGAATATCTACTGCGTAAATTAATCCTTCGTAGGGCGGGTTTTTGTTCCGCGAATTAGATGGTCGCATCATATTCAACTTCATCGCGTGCCGGATGCGATAGCTGTAAACAATTTAAGGAACAAATTCGATTATGATATCTTGAATTAACGCAATTATAAGGTATACTGATGCTTATTAGTAGCGGCACTAGTTAGCTTTGATTAAATCGTGGAAGTAAAAGTTTGTTTAAATTATTCGAAATAAATTGCAACGTATGCAATATAAGTCCGCATATATAGCATATATTTTATACTCTTCTCCAATATTTTTAGCAGCATAAAACTTTACACGGCCGCTGGATTTTTGTAAATGGCGGCCATTAAAAATTTCCCTCACAAATGCGATGTTCACCCATCATCTGAATCCTAAATATTTCGCGAATATGTTAATCGTATACTAACAGCTTGTCCGGTGTTAAATGTCGTAAAATTGGCTATATAAACTACCTCGTTGATGGTCGACTATCGGCTAAATTAAGTAATAAAATGCCACACCATTACAATTAAATTATCTTTTCCGCGAGATATATATATTAATATGTATAGCGTATTTTTATATATTTTTCTGCAACATTTTTGAATGCGTACAAATTCCCATATAGAAATTCTTGCCAACACTGTTCATTAAAACTACACAAAGAAATTAGATTCCTTCAAATTTAATCAATTTTATTGCATCCAAATAAATTTCATTATTGGCATACTACAAAGAAGCTAATGTTGCGAATAATAAATACGATTGTTATACTTTTCCACAATTATTTAAATTAATCTTCAATAACAACTTTGTTAAAAACTAAATATAATTTTCTTAAAAAGAAATTATTTGTTTTATTTTACATATTATTTATAATTAAAAAATATCTTATTTTATTAAAGGACATTTCAAATAATAGCGTTTTTCTGCAAAATAATAGAGTCTTCTTAAATGAGACAATAAAATTTTTATCCAAAAAATAATATTTCATATATGTGTATGCTGCTTCTATGAAATATATTTTAGTCAATTAAATAGAAATACCAAATCTAAAAAAATATTTTTCTTTGTTTATTGTCCTCATTTTTGTTTACAAACACGAGGTTCGCATTTTACCTGGCAATTCTAAACATCCCACAGATATATTGACCATATGATAACAGCATTGTCCCGGTACTGAGCACCGCGAAGCATGCTATATAAAAGGCCATGTTTGCGTGCAGCAGAATTAAATAGAAATATTTCTCTTTATCAGCACAGTATTCACTCATAAACTGTAGCATGTTAATCGGTCGAGTCTTGTTTGAGGACAGAATTATGCCGAAAATACGTTGCCCAAATTGTAACAGAAAACCAACGGATATACTACATGCTGTAAAAACTGTAAAGAAAGGAAATATGATGCGGAAAGCTTTGCCGAAAAATTCGATAGATATATTACAGACGCTTTATAAGGTTTGAAAATAAATATGAGAAATAAATCTTGAACTTTTTTAGTTTTAAATTGTTAATAATACATTTGTTGAGTTTAGATCTAACGTATGAATCACGTCTTAGGGAAACCATAACTTGTTACCTCACCTGTCAATATAACAGTATAACATTTTGTCTTGTTTCCGTATTCATCCATGATAGCAATTTCGTTCTCGTCTTTTAATTCGTCATAGTTACGCTGAATTTGTTCTATCAGAGATTTCACCTGTTGTTTTAATCTAGATTCTTAAATCTGTTATTCCATATCTTAATTTTTAGCACTAGTGTTTGTGCTTTTGACTCTTTTTAAACAAATTGTCGTTCAAAAGGCGTTTAAAAAAGAGAAACATTTATAAAATATGAGAACTTCAAAAATTATTTGTCTTTTTGAATACAAAGGACACAAGTAGTCATTAACTCACTTCTTCGCTGTTGACGTAAAACGAAGCGTAATTTATCATGCTGATAGTTAAGAAAAATGAAGTAAAAAGAATTTTGAGGACTAGGTCCACCGTGCATTTTGATGTAAAAAACACGCCAATCTGTACATGTAACAACTTATATCTTATAAATCTTATGTATATGTGCATGCGTGCGTGCGTGCGTGTGTAATATATTTTGTTTCCTATTTTATATTTTATATAAATTTTGGAACGCTGGAAGAAAGTTCATATCTAAATACAAGCGACTGTATCAAATTATATATAATTATATCTAAGATCTATTGATATTATTATTTATACGTAATTTCATCAAGATATTTATAATTTCATATTAATTTATATTTAATAATGTTAATGTTTTTTTTTATTTTATTGTGATTTTTATTGCAATGTTTTTGTTATTTCATTACTCGTTCATATATTATAATTATGTGAGATTTAATTAAATATATTCAAATTAATTTTATCTTATTAAATATGTGATTAGATCAGATTAAAACGCTTGTATAATTAAATCTAAACTTTTCCCCGGGATAGAAACTTTTCATCTAAGGAGATAATTCGAGGAATTAGGAATATTATTACTTTAATGTATATGCAAATGAAAGTTTCTATTGCTAATTTGACTGCAAAATTAATTAACATGTAATAACATTAGTACAAAGCAACTAACATACTTGTGATAGAATAAAAGTTGTCAGAATACCAAAAAGCAGACCGAACTGCAATGAAACAAGTTTCGATTGCTGGTAGGGCCACAAACCAAGTTTGAGCAGGAGAATACGATTTAGACGGAGATGCGCTTGAACATACTGCGTGCAAATCATCCCTGCGCCAACATCGCGACCTGTTTGATGCCGAGTACATCGAGAAAGGTTCGCTTGCCCCACCCCTCCTATTCGTAGGATGATTATCTTATAACTTACCTCTATTTGAACGGACATTTTAGTATTATGTAACCAATTTTTTGAATAACGCAAAATGACCGCGAAATAACACCGTGAGAATGCAATGCTTTTACTTCGCCAATGTTTTTGCTATATCTGCAATTAAGCGATCAATTTCCCAGAGGAAAATATTTTTCCAGATATTTCTTTGCTATGATATAGGGATTCTCACGGAATATCTTATCCCGCAAAAACTGCGCAAGCGTATTTACGTTCTTCATAGCTGGATGTGTTTCATTCTAACGCAAGCGCCCATACGTTATGTTTTATTTCTAAACTCTATTCGTCTTGTTTGGATCTCGATGTTGATATATCACCTCTCGCGACAGCAGTAAGTCTTCAGAGAATGTATCTACCTGCATCTCTTTAAAACATATAAAATAAAATAATTCGCTGCATATCAGGATATTTTTTGGTTGGCGTAGCAATTTCTTAGAATGAAATAAGTAAACCAACCACGGTCATCTCGGTTGTATTTAATAGCTAGGAATAGAAATGAAAAATAGCGTAGATTTAATTCTTTTTTTAGCAAATTTTTATTTAGATACGTTGCTAGGAGACTACATTGATACTAAATATCTCTAATTATTGTCGTGTTGAATAAATAACGGTGAAGTAAGATATCGTAGCGCTTAGCAACTGAAATGAAACATTCATTCCCTTAATAAACGCGTTTTTACTTTTAAAATACCAGTCTATTCACTCCAAAAAGTCGACACTAACTTTCGGGGAGAGTTTCTACTTTAGTCGGCTGATTTCAAGGCTATTTCCAAACATTTTTTTCTACAAATGAAAGCACTTGGAATATTTACGTTTTATAAGCGTGTTTATACATTCTTTATCTTTAGAAGAATTTACATTTATTATGTTTTGTGCATGTGACAAATGAAAATACAATTGATTAAATATAAGCTGTTGAGACGATTATGTTCGCATTGTCCCAAGATTTGTGCTCATTCTACTGATCTGAAACAAACAATCTAAAATTTATTTTAATTTTTATGAATTTGCTTCTATTTCGTACCTCATTGAACAATATATCTCTATTGTCAACAAAATGGCATCCGATTAGTAAGAAGACATGCAAAATAAGCCAATTTTTATCGAATTTTTACTCTGTAAGAAAAACAAATTTGAAGATATTCACTTAAAAGTGGTAGATAACGTATACTGCTGTTATCTCGCCATGTATCACCAAAGTTGTAGGTACATATTGAAATAAAAGGCCTACGTAATCACGAGAGACATTTCGAGGTACGTTCCTCGAATTTAAAAGAATCACAAGGTACGTATCTCCAAATTTGACTATCGCGTATGATTAACAACGTATGATTTATAGCAATGGTATGAACATATATATTGAAACAGAAGTCAATCGGTGCGATAGTTTCTAAAAAAGTCTGGGACAATGTTGAGAAATATGGTTTTGAGAAAAATGCGTTTAAAATTTTTGGTACTTTATTACAAGTAGAAAAGTAATTTATTTCCTTAATTTGCTGTACCACGTCCAAAAATTGCACCTTCTTCTTTCTCAAAAGAACTTTCATCAACATTTCGTTGTTCATTATAAATAAATATAGCCTTCACAAATTCATGGGACCTCTGTTGCTCAAAACGACTTACTCGCCTATAGTCTTGAATGTCGGCAAACATTTTCGCCTGTCGTCCTATTATTATCTCCATGAGTACCATTATTTGTAGGATGCTTTGATATTCTTCATTAAATATGCAGAAAGCAAAAAATGTCGCAATTTCTACCGTTGATTTGCCAGAGTACATATGCTTTGTAACGATTTTAAATCCAAGACCACGGGTACTTGTTTTATTAAACTGTATATCACTTTGACACGTTTGGCGTGATTATTGCAGAAAAACAGAAAAGAACTCAAGAGAATACAATAACCGTATGTCGATAGATGGGAACTTTAACGGTTCTTCGCCAGTTCTTTGTCCTTTTTCCGCGGATATATTTGCAAAATTAGTATTCGCAGAAGATTGATTTTTACAGAAATATTGTTTTCTACTGTTTTCCGATTGCAAACCAACTTTTCTTTGAGCCTTTGTAATCTATTTTTTTTGTTTTGCACGTACGAATTTATTCTCTGTTTCCGAACGGAGACTAAACAATGTTGAAGTGTAATCCGTGATAACAGTCATAAATACAAGAAGAATAGACGATAATAAAGAAATGTAATAAATATATTATTCTAAAAGAGCGAAATAAAACAGCGAAATGAAAAGGAACCAATTTAAAAAAAAAAAGGAGAAGAAGAATATTGCGTTAGAATCTTGAGCTGCATGTTATCCCTGATATCAATTATTCAAATGTTTAAAACACCAATAAATTGTTTGAATTTCGTGAAATCACTTTGAGAATACATTTTCAAGACTACAAAAATTAAGGAAATGCAAAATGAAAAAAATTCGATTTTGTTGATCCTCTAAAGTAGAAACTCCTTGTATTACTTCAAACTTGAAAAGACGATATGTACCTTTGATAAACGAAATGTAATTTACGGATGTATAATAATCGAAAAGGGAAAAATTTGGAAAATAGTAATTGTTCATTACATAACGAATATTAGCGACTCTAATTTCATCACCTCGAAGTCGCTATTATTCACAATATTTTTTACCGTTAAAAAGTTTTCATTTCTACGGTAATTATCTCTTTTTAAATTGAGCATTTTGAGGTGAAAGACTTTAACTGTCTCTCAGTAATACGATGCGTAATCTTTTCTTACCGATGTGAAACCTTCCATTGATCCTACGAAGATACCGCCAAGCTTCACATAATAAGCCTTGGTGCCTTTCTGCAGCATAAACAATATTATCTTTTGCACATGTAAAGGCGCCACGTACCATTGTATGTCGTATCTACAAAGTGAGTGAGAGGTAGAATAGTAGAATCTGCAAAATCTGAGAATCATATAATCTCTCGCGAGAATGTAACTTTTTCACTATATGTGAACCATAGTCCTACGATTAATTTTTGCTTCTTTATTCGTTCTATCAAATCATCCGCGTTTGCGTGGTTTGCATGCTATTCCGCAGTTATCGCGAGAAAGTTTCTTACACGGTGACGAACACATGATTATTGTGATTCGTGATTTCTTGGGCGATGTAGCTGCCCACGAAGATATACAGATATTGGGAACTCAAGAAGGAAATTTGCATGGTCAATTCTTCGAGATCATATTCCGATTGCAATGTCAGGGAAATCTAAAACACGACGTACGTTTTTATAAGTGCGTTTTTACATTACATTAGTATATACTAAAGGGATTGATATTGGTATTTTTTGATATTACACGACAACTGAAAAAAAAAATCGATTTGTGTAAATACTGATGCTTGTGAAAATTTCAGTATAATACCAGTATTCGATATTACGATACGTATTTTACAGAAGGATATAATAAAGAAAATAATAATAATAACATGCATTATCGCAGGTAGCATCGGCGATCTACGACAGCCGCTATGTGGCATAAAATATGTATCATAATTACATAATAAATTTGATTGTTTCGATAATATTTACATTCAATCATACCGGTATAATATCGATATTATATCAAAATCCGTAACACTGGTATAATATCGGTATTATGCAAAATTTCGGCATTGGACGTCAAAAAATACCGATATTCTACTGAAATATTGATAATATCGATATTATAAATACAGCGTATATATAATATCGTTAGAAAAATAACTTTGATATTCAGTCCCTGATATATATTTTCACCATAGGCAATGCTCACTTGCATTAAATTGAGCAAATCACTCCCGAGCCGATCATTAAAAAGAGCATTAGCGAGAACGTGGATATTAAAAGTTCAACCAACCTTTAAAAGACAAAAGCGTATATTATTGTACTCGCCTTACATATATAATTGGATTGATACCTACTGTAGAGTTTTGCGATGAATATCTACTGCGTAAATTAATCTGACGTAGATTAAATTCTCGTTCATTGAATTAATAGGTCGCAGTCCGTTAGGCTCCATCGCATGCTGAACACGATAACTGTACATAATTTGAGAAAGGTTAATAACTTAAAATATAAGCTTCGGATAAAATTTTGTGAGATAAAAAGTTGTCTTTCGGAATTATGTAATTTTAATGATAAAAAGTTGTGTGTTTGTATGTGTGTTTTGAATTACTCTGTATGTTAATATGCACAGTATATTATTATCCATTTTTCTTCAACATTTTAGGATATATAAGTTTTCACACGCTGAACAATTCTCACGAACATTATGTCTATTATAGACATTGTCCCTACTTTTATACACGAACACGTAGTTTTCACTTTACTTGGCAATTCTGAACATCCCGCAGATATGATAACCATACGATAGTATTATCGTTCCAGTACCGACTTCCATAAAAAGAGCTACAAAAACGGTCGCGTTCAAGTGTAGCAGAATTAAATAAAGATGCTCCTCTCGATCAATGAAATACTCGTTTAAAAATTGCAGTGTATGAATCGGTCGAGTCATATTCATAGGCAGAAATATATCGAGGAAGCTTGGCCAAAATTGCGACAGGAAAAATGCAACTAAAATGCATGTGATAAACACTGAAATGAATGAGAAAAAAGATGCACATCTTCTTTAGAAAATGCAGTTCACGCATTGTTTAAGAAATATTAGACTTAATAATGATTGCAGGATTTGGAGATTGGAATTTGTTAAATAACGGATGTAATGTATAAATCGCGATATATATACATGAAAATTATAGCATGTAGCCTTACCTGTAAACACAAAAGTATAATATTTAGCCTTGTTCCCGTACTCGTTAAGGATTGCGGCTTCGTTCTCGTCTTTTAACTCGTCATAAGTACGCTGAATTTTTTCGATCAAAGACTTCACCTATTGTTTCAACGTCTTCCTCTTAACTCTTAACACTAATATTTAACTTCTCGTCTCTCTTTATTAAATTCAGTATTGCGTGAGGAATTTAAGAAAAGGAAAGAAATCATTGGATGTAAAGGTTAATTTTTCAAGGTTTATTCATTATTTATCGTGTTTTGGTCGAAAGCAAAGGAATGACTACTCTGTTGACTCACCCCTTTGGCGTTGATGTAAAATGAAACATAACATATTATGCTGCTAGTAAAGAAGAATGTGATGAAGAGAATTCTCAGAATAAGTTCCACTGTGCACCTCGAAGTAATAAACACTCCAAGCTACATATAAAATTATTAATTTCACATATTACCGTCATATCATATCATATAATTTTCATGATGTATATGTGCAATATATTCTGCTGTATTTTGTTTTGTGCAACAAAAAGTTTTGCAAGCAGAGAATTGTTTTGGAAGAATATATTTTGATCCGGCCGTCGAGTCATAAGCTTGAAATTAATAATTGTTTCGTAATATGCCGCGATTGAAAGAACCATTTCAAGTTTAATCAGTTGCAATTACAACATAATACAATATTATTTCTAATACTATTTTTAATATCAATGTAATATAATGCTTAATGTAATATAAACAAAATGGGTTCCTATCGATTTCAAATTAAATTAAATTAAATTAACTAAACTAAATTAATATATAATGACAATATTACAGAATCACCGACCTACCTGAGACAAAATAAATGTTATTATGATACCGCAACACAGACTGAATTGCAATGGAACACGTTTCGATCGCACATAGGGCCACAAACCAAACATGAGCAGGAGAACTCGATTGAGCCTGAGATGTGTTTGAATGTATTGCGTGGCGATCATTCCTGTGCGAGCGTCAAGTTGCGTTTGACGTCGTGCAAGTCAAAAGAAGTTCGCTCACGCTTCTCCCTTCTGTTAGTCAAATTATTATCTTATAGCTTACCTCTCTTATCGAACCTCTCTTATCTTTCTTATTGTATATTACGGCCAAAAGTAACTTTTTCTTAATAATACGAAATTATGAAATTACGGATAACACTGTGAAAATGCAATACTTGTGTTTCTCGCTAATGTTCTTGTTGCTATACCTGCGATTAGCGATCAATTTCACAAAGGAAAATATTTTTCCATTTGTTTCCTTATGCTCTAATAGAGGAACTCTTGTAAAACATATTGTCCTGCGAAGAGCGCGCAAGCGTACTCACACTTTGTGACTTCACGTGTTTCATTCTAGCACGGGCGCTCATACGTTATGTTTCATCCCTGATTCTACATTCGTCTTGGTTCTTGTTGCTGATATATCATCTCTCGCGACAGTAGTAAGTTTTCATAACATATATATGTACCGGTATGTTATTAATACGTTAGAAAATAATTGGCCAACGGAATATCTTTTCGCGACGAGGAAATCTTCTAGAATGAAACACGTAAGCCCATTCTGGGTGTATTAGATAGGTAAATGTAGAAATGTTGAATATTGCAAATTTAATTCATACACTAACTTTATTTAGATATATTGCTAATATTATGTTTGATAGGAGATATCTGTATTATTGTTGCGTTGAATAAATAATAGTGAAGTAAGATATTGTGGCACTCAGCAACTGCAATGAGATATTATTTCCTTAATGACCGCGCTTTAAAAACACCAGATTTTCCAAAATGCCGAAAATAATTTATAAATTAATAATTCAAACTTAAGAAGACGATATATACATCTTATAAATGAAATTACGTGCACGGACGCTAATAGTCGAAGAGTAAACTTGGAAGAAGTAACTGTACATTATGTAACATATATTTGCGACGCTAATTTTATTTTCTCGAGGTCGCTATAATTTATAAAATTTTTTGTCGTTACAAAAATTTTCCTCAGAATGGAAATTATCTCCCTTTAAATCAAATAATATTTCGAAATAAAAGAATTTCATTAGGTGATACTTTCACATTCTCCCAGTGATACAGTGCGTCATCTTTTCTTACCGATGCAAAACCTTCTATGGATCCTATGAAAATACCACCAAGTTTTACGTAATATCCTATAGTACCCTTCTGTAGCATGAACAGTATTATCTTTTGCACATGTAAGGGCATCATGTACCATTGTATATTATATCTACGAAATGACGGTATATATAAAATGGAAGAATCAGCAAAACCAATAAACTATATATTTGTACTTATAAGCAATGTCGCCTTTTGATACTTATACGGAATTTTATTTTATATAACATTTAGATGTTACAAAATTTTACTAAGTGCACTAAATGTTAATAAATTTAATTAGTATATAGGTTGTGTAATAATACATCACGCCCACGAACAAGGTTGCAATGTTTATTCAATCTGAAAAAACGACATTACTTATGAGTACTTTTAATAAACTTCCCCGAGAATTTAAATTTTCCTCTATACATAAGTCATACTCTTATAAGCTCCGTTTAACTTTCATTTTTATAATTATCCTATAATCCGTGTTCGTGTGATTTCTTTGCAATTTCGCAGGTACCGCGAGGAAATCTCTTACACAGTGTCAAACACATCATTGTTGTAATCCGCGACTTTTTGTGCAATATAGTTTGCCAGAAACATAAACAGATACGTAGCGCACAAGAAAAGAATTTGCATAATTAATTCTTCGAAATCATATCCAGACGATAATATCAGATAAATCTGAAATGCATTGCATGTTTCCGTAAGTGCACTTTTATATTAAATGCGTGGATATATATTTACATAATAAATTAAGCTCACTTGCATTAAATTAAGACTTAAGCAAGACACACCCGTGCCGATCAGTAAGAACAGACATAGCGAGAATGAGGATATTAGAAGTTCAATGAACCTTCAAAAGATAAAAACATGCATTATTGCAAACGCTGTTTGCATGTTATTAGATTCATACCAACCGCACAGTTTTTCGATGAATATGTACTGCGTGAATTAATGCTACGTATGCAGAATTTTTGTTCGGTTGTTTAGTAAATCGCACTCCGTTTGATACTATTGCGTGCTGGACGCGATAGCTGTAAATAATTTGAAAAACAATTTCAACGAATGAAAGAAAAGCGATGCAAACAGGTACTGATTGTTGGACATTAATATGAATATTTTAACTATGATAAAATAATAATGTTTGACTATATGGTAAATCTATTTCCCAATATTTTTTAATATTTATAGTACCCAACATATTGCCCCGATTATTAAATTATTCATTATTACATTTCCATTGAATTATTTCCTTGAGAACATATTGAAGTATCAGAGTTACGCGGTATTAGGCTGGTAAATTTATCAATAGAGATCGAACACTAGTATAATTTTACAATGTTGTTTTGTAATGTATGGATACCCGGGGCATAGCTGGACCATGTAGTATAATGAATGTGATTGATAACTTTTTACAGAGATGTTTCTATGTAATTAAATGTTTTGCAATAATTATTGTTAGATGTATCTTAGCGTATACTATTAACGGTCTTCAATTTTTAGCTGCTATAAAGTGTTTGTTACGTTCCCTGTACTCTCCGACAGAGTTGCAGATTCTTTGAAACATTCTCATAAGCTACGCAATGATAAAATTCAATTTTCTATACAATAAGTACATTTACGTTACCAAATAATTTTTTTACTGCACTGTGGTAAAGTTCCTGTGCAAATATCATAAATAATTCTCATGGACCTTGTCCGTATTACATATATTGTTCCCGGTTTTGCTCCGGAACATGTAATTCGTATTTTACCTGGCAATTTTGAACATCCCACAGATGTGGTAACCATATGATATTATCATTGTTCCGGTGCTGAGCGTTGCGAAGAAGCCTATACAAATAGCCGCATCCGAATGCAGTAAAAATAAATAGAAATGCTTCTCTCGATCAACAAAGTATTCGTCTATAAATTTCAATATGTAAATCGATCGAGTCTCATTCGTAGGCAAAAATATATTTAGGAAACTTGGCCAAAATTGCAACAGGAAAAGCGCAAATATAAGACATATGACAAACACTGAAACAAATAAGAGAAAGAAATGCACATGTTCTTTAGAAAATGCAATTTTCACGATATTCGAGAAATATTGGACTTAAAAATGATTGGACAAATAGAATTTATAATTTGATAATTGATTTCCGACATAATGTATAAATCACATTGGGAAAATCATAACATGTAACCTGTCAACACAGTGGTATAACGTTTCGCTTTGTTCGTGTATTCCTCGAGAATAGCGATTTCGTTCTCGTCCCTTATCATATCGTAATTATCCTGCATTTTGTCAATCAAAGTCTTCACCTGTTATTTCAACATTCCTTCTCTTAACATAATAATATATAACTTCTTGTCCCTTTTCATAACACCCGACGTTGTGAGATGTTTAAGAAAGAGAGAGAAGTCTTTGGGGGCAAAACTCAATTTTACAAGATTGATTCGTAGCAAACGTTAATTTTGCAGGACTTATTCGTCGTTTATTGAACGAAAGTAAATGAATGGCAGAAAATTCGTAATCTCACCGTTTCACTATGGCCGTAGAATGCAAGGTAGCATAACACGCAGCCAGCGAAAAAGAATGTGGTAAAAAGAATTCTAAGAGTAAGATCCATTGTGCATCTCGAAGTAATAAAAACCCCAAGCTGTATATATCATTATTTATCTTGTACATTATAATATATATTATATACATTACGTGTATATTATAATACATATTATATATTATATTGTCATCATATAATATAATTTTCATGACGCATATGTATAATATATTTTGTTATATTTTACTTTGTGCAGCAAAAATCTTGCAGCCAAAGTGTTACATTAGAAAAATATTTTTTTATTTAGCCATCAAGTCACCAGTTAAAAATTAATAATTGCTATGTACCGCGACTAAAAGAGCAATCATAATTGCACTTACAACATAACTAATGCAATATTATTATGTTTGATATAATCCAAGCAAAATGAATTTCTATGAATTTCAATTCAAACTAAATCAACGCGTGATGATATATGATACTATGAAATCACCAACTTACCTGACACAGCATAAAAGATATTATGATGCCGCAAAGCAAGCCGAACTGCAATGGAACAAGTTTCGATTGCTTATATGGCCATAAGCCAAGCATGAGCATGAGAATTCGATTGAGACTGAGATGTGCTTGAATGTAATGCGTGCCAGTCATTCCTGTGCGAGGTTCGAGATGTATCTGATGTCGTGCAATAAGATCTAGGTGCAGTCACGCTCCCCTCTATCCATCAACTTAATCATTATCTTATATCTTACTTGCTATAGAGTGTATTCTAACGCAAAATTGCCCATTTATTTTATTACACATAATGACCTCGAAATAGCACCGCGAGAACGCAATATTTGTGCTTCGCAAATATTCTTGCTGCTGCATCAACAATTGAACGTTCAATTTGAGAAAGAAAAATATTTCTCCATTTATTCCTTGGGTCTAATATAGCAGCTCTTACAATAAATTTGCTCCGCAAAGATAGTGCAAACCTACTCGCATATTCGTGACTTCACATATTTCAGTTTTGCAAGAGCAGTCAAACATTACGTGTCACCTCTGAACTTTATTTCATTTGCACGACACGTGATATTGATATATCATCACTCGCGACAGCATTAAGCCTTTATAACATTTATTTATATATAACGATGTCTTTTTAATACGTTGTAAAATAATAGACTAACGGGATATCTTTTGTCTTTCGACGGTGAGGTAATTTCTTAGAAAGAAACACGTAAGCCCATCCTGGCTGTATTAGATAGGTAGGAATACAAATGAAGAATATTACAGATTTAATTCTTTCAGTAACTCTATTTACATATATTGCTAATATTACGTTGATGACAGATACTCCTATTATTGTCGCGTTGAATAAATAACAGTGAAGTAAGATATCGTGGCGCTCAGCAACTGCAATGAGACTTTGTTTCTTTAATGACCGCGCTTTAAAAACACAGCGCTTTAAAAACACAGACTTTTCAAAAAGCCGAAAATAATTTTTGGATCAATAATTCAAATTGGAGAAGACCATATACATCTTTTAAAAATAAATTAACATGCACAAATGCTAATAATAGAAAAGTAATCTTGAAAGAAGCAATTGTGCATTACGTAACATATATTCGTGACGATAATTTTATTATATTGTCGTCATTTTATTTATAATATATTTTATCGTTAAAACAGTTTTCATCGATACGCAAATTATCTTTTTTTAAATTGAGTGACATTTCGAAGTTAGAAGATTTCATTTAGTGATACTTTCAGTTTTTTTCGGTGATAAAGTACGTAATCCTACCTTACCGTTGCAAAACCTTCTATGGATCCTATGAAAATACCGCCAAGCTTCACGTAATATCCCTTGGTACCCTTCTGTAGCATGAACAGTATTATCTTCTGCACACGTAAGGGCACCATGTACCATTGTATATTATATCTATGAAATGACGTTATAGAATAGAAGAATCAGCAAAACCAAAGAATAATATATTAGAAGCATCCTTATGTAATGTCGCTTTTTGATACTTAAACGTAATTTTATTTTATTTAACAATTAGATCTTACAAAATTTTATAATAAGTGCACTAAATGTTAATAAATTTAATTAGTATATAAGTTGTGCAATAATAAATCACGTCCCCGAACAAGGTTTCAATGTTTATTCAATATGAAAAAACGACATTACTTATGTGTATTCTTAATAAACCTCCGCGAGAATTTAAATTTTCCTCTATACGTAAGTCATATTCTTATAAGCTGCGTTTAATTTTCATTTTTATAATTATCCTGTAATCTGTGTTTGTGTGATTTGTTTGCAATTCCGCCAGTATCGCGAAGAAATTTCTTACACGGTGTCAAACACGTCATTGTTGTAATCCGTGATTTTTTGGGCGATGTAGTTTCCCAGGAACATAAATAGATACATGCCGCACAAGAAGAGAAGTTGCACGGCCAAATCTCCGAGGTCATATCCGGACGACAGTATCAAATAAATCTGAAATGCTTTGCATGTTTCCGTAAGTGTACTTTTATATTAAATGCATTAGTACATATTTATATAATAGTCTAAGCTCACTTGCATTAAATTGAGACTTAAGCAAGACACACCCATGCCGATCAGTAAGACACACCATAGCGAGAATGAGGATATTAGAAGTTCAGTGAACCTTTAAAAGATAAAAACATGCATTATTGCAAACGCTGTTTGCATGTAATTAGATTCATACCAACCGCACAGTTTTTCGATGAATATGTACTGCGTGAATTAATCCTGCGTATGTAGAATTTTCGTTCAGTTGTTTAGTAAATTGCAATCCGTTTGATACCATCGCGTGCTGAACGCGATAGCTGTAAATAATTTAGGAAACAATTTCAACGAATGGAAGAAAAACAATACAAACAGATACTGTTTGCTGTACATCAATATGAATATTTTAGCTATGGTAAGATAATGTTTAATTATATGGTAAATATATATCCCAATATTTTTTTAATATATATTGCACACAGCATCTTTTCCCGATTATTAAATTATTCATTATTACATTTCCATTGAATTATTTCCTTGAGAACATATTGAAATATCATAATTACGCGTTATCAGGCTGGTAAATTTATCAATAGAGATCGAATATCAGTATAATTTTACAATGTTGTTTTGTAATGTATGGATACCCGGAGCATAGCTGGACCATGTAGCATAATGGGTGTGATCGATAACTTTTTACAGAGACGCTGCTATGTAATTAAATGTTTTGCAATAATTATTGTTAGATGTATCTTAGCGTATACTATTAACGGTTGTCAATTTTTAGCTGCTATAAAGTGTTTGTTACGTTCCCTGTACTCTCCGACAGAGTTGCAGATTCTTTGAAACATTCTCATAAGCTAAGAAATGATAAAATTCAATTTTCTATACAATAAGTACATTTACGTTACCAAATAATTTTTTTACTGCACTGTGGTAAAGTTCCTGTGCAAATATCATAAATAATTCTCGTGGATCTTGTCCGTATTACATATATTGTTCTCGGTTTTGCTCCGGAACATGTAATTCGTATTTTACCTGGCAATTTTGAACATCCCACAGATGTGGTAACCATATGATATTATCATTGTTCCGGTGCCGAGCGTCGTGAAGATGCCTATGCAAATAGCGGCGTTCGAATGCAGTAGAAATAAGTAGAGATGCTTTTCTTGATCCACGAAGTACAGATTTATAAATTTCAGTATGAAGATCGGTCGAGTCTCATTCGTAGGCAAAATTATATTGAGAAAAGTTGGCCAAAATTGCAACAGGAAAAGCGCAAATATAAGACACATGACAAACACTGGAACAAATAAGAGAAAGTAATGCACATATTCTTTAGAAAAGCAATTTTCACGATATTCAAAAAATATTGGACTTAAAAATGATTGGACAAATAGAATTTATAATTTGATAATTGATTTCCGACATAATGTATAAATCACGTTGGAAAAATCATAACATGTAACCTGTCGACACAGTGGTATAACGTTTCGCTTTGTTCGTGTATTCGTCAAGAATAGCGATTTCGTTCTCGTCCCTTATCTTGTCGAAATTATCCTGCATTTTGTCAATCAAAGTCTTCACCTGTTATTTCAACGTTCCTTCTTTTAACATTATAATATTTAAATTCTCTTCCTTTTTCATAATATCCGACATTGCGAGATATTTAAGAAATAGAAACAAGTGTGTTTTGGAGGCAAAACTCAATTTTACAAGATTTATTCGTAGCAAAATTAAATTTAACAGGACATATTCGTTGTTTATTGAACGAAAGTAAATGAATGACAATGTTCGTAAACTCACTGTTTCGCTGTTGATGTAGAATGAAATGTAGCATATCTCGCAGCCAGCGAGAAAGGATGTGGAAAAAAGAATTCTAAGAATAAGATCCATTGTGCATTTGGAAGTAATAAAAACTCCAAGCTGTATATTTCATTATTATCTTATATATAATACAATATTGTCATCATATTATATAATTTTCAAGATATATATATATAATATATTTTGCTACGTTTTACTTTATGCAGCAAAAAATCTTGTAGCCAAAGTGTTACATTAGAAGAACATATTTTTATTCGGCTTCAAGTCACAAGTTTAAAATTAATAATAGCTGCGTGACCTACGCGATTGAAGGATTTATTCCAAGTCTAATCACAATTACATTTACAAAATAATTAATACAATATTATTATGTTTAATATAATGCAAACGAAATGAATTTTTATGAATTTCAATTTCAACTAAATTAAAACAAAATGATAGTACTATGAAATTACCAACATACCTGACACAACATAAAAGTTATTATGATGCCGCAAAGCAGACCAATCTGCAATGGGACAAGTTTCGATTGCTCATAGGGCCATAAGCCAAGCATGAGCAGGAGAACTCGATTGAGACTGAGGTGTGCTGGAGTGTAATGCATGTAAATCATTCCTGTGCGAGATTCGAGATGCATCTGACGTCGTGCAATAAGATTTAGGTGTAGTCACGCTCCCCCCCCCCCCCCCCNCTTAATCATTATCTTATATCTTACCTCTTATTGAGCGAATATTCTAAAGCAAAATTGCCCATTTGTTTTATTACACATAATGACCTCGAAATAGCACCGCGAGAACGCAATACTTGTACTTCGCAAATATTCTTGCTGCCATATCAATTGAACGTTCAATTCGATAAAGAAAAATATTTCTCCATTTATTCCTTGGATCTAATGTAGGAACTCTTATAATACATTTGCTCCACAAAGATAGTGCAAACCTACTTGCATATTCGTGACTTTACATATTTCAGTTTTGCACGAGCACTCGAACATTACATGTCAACTCTGAACTTTATTTCATTTGCTCGACATGTGATGCTGATATATCATCGCGACAGCATTAAGTCTTCATAACATATATTTATATATACCGGTGTCTTTTTAATACGTTGTAAAATAATCGGCTTAAGGGATATCTTTCGTCTTTCGACGGCGAAGTAATTTCTTAGAAAGAAACACGTAAGCCCATCCTGGCTGTATTAGATAGGTAGGAGTACAAATGAAGAATATTGCAGATTTAATTCTTTCGGTAACTCTATTTACATATATGGCTAATATTACGTTGGTGACAGATACTCCTATTATTGTCGCGTTGAATAAATAACAGTGAAGTAAGATATCGTGGCGCTCAGCAACTGCAATGAGACTTTGTTTCCTTAATGACCACGCTTTGAAAACACCAGACATTTCAAAAAGCCGAAAATAATTTTTGGATCAATAATTCAAATTGGAGAAGACCATATACATCTTTTGAAAATAAATTAACATGCACAGATGCTAATAATCGAAAAGCAATCTTGAAAAAAGCAATTGTGCATTACGTAACATATATTCATGACGATAATTTTATTACCTCGACGTCATTTCGTTTATGATATATTTTGTCGTTAAAACAGTTTTCATCGATGCGTAAATTATCTCTTTTTAAATTGAGTGACATTACGAGGTAAAAAGCTTTCATTAGGTGATACTTTCACTTTCTTCCAGTAATATAGTACGTAATCCTACCTTACCGTTGCAAAACCTTCTATCGATCCTATGAAAATACCGCCAAGCTTCACGTAATATCCCTTGGTACCTTTCTGCAGCATGAACAGTACTATCTTCTGCACACGTAAGGGCACCATGTACCATTGTATATTATATCTATGAAATGACGGTATAGAATAGAAGAATTAGCAAAACCAAAGAATAATATATTAGAAGTATTCATAAGTATACTCGCTTTTTCATACTTGTACGAAACTTTATTTTATTTAACATTTATTTCTTTCAAAATTTTACATAAGCGCGCTAAATGTTAATAAATTTAATTAGTATTTAGGTTATGTAATAATATAAAATATAAGTTAGTCCACGAACAAGGCAGAAATGTTTATTTAATCTAAAAGGACGAAATTGTTTATGTATATCCCTAATACACTTGCGAGGATTTTAATTTTTCTCTGTACGTAAGTCATACTCTTATAAGCTGCGTTTAATTTTCATTTTTATAATTATCCTGTTATCAGTGTTCGAGTGATTTGTTTGCAATTCCAAGTACTACGAGAAAATCTCTTACACATCGTCAAAAACGTCATTGTTGTAATCCGTGATTTTTTGAGCGATATAGTTTGTTAAAAACATATACAGATATACAGAACATAATAAAAGAAGCTGCACGGCCAAATCTTCGAGGTCATGTCCGGACGATAATATCAGATATATCTGAAATGCATTGCATATTTCCGTAAATGCACTTTTATATTAAATGCGTGGGTATATATTTATATAATAAATTTTGCTCACTTGCAATAAATTGAGACTTAAGCAAGACACACCCGTGCCGATCAGTAAGAAAAACCATAGCGAGAATGTAGATATTAGAAGTTCAACGAACCTTCAAAAGGTAAAAGCGTGCATTATTGCATACACTGTTCGCATGTAATTGGATTCATACCAACCGCACAGTTTTGCGATGAATATGTACTGCTTGAATTAATCCTACGTATGTTAAATTTTCGTCCGGTTGTTTAATAAATCGCAGTCCATTTGATTCCGTTACGTGCTTGACGCGAGAGCTGTTAATAATTTCGAAAACAATTTCAACGAATAAAAGAAAAGCAATGCAAACAGGTACTCATTATTGGACACCAATATGAATATTTTAGCTATGGTAGAATAATAATGTTTGACTATATGGTAAATCTATTTCTCAATATTTTTTAATATTTATAGTACCCAACATCTCTTCCCGATTATGAAATTGTCCATATTTCGTACCATTTGGAATATTTTCCTTGAGAATATCTTGGAATATTATATTTACGTCATATCAGGTTGCTCAAATTAGCAATAGGGATCATATTCTATTTCAATTTCGCAATGTAGCTTTGCACTGTAAGGAAACCTGGGGCATAAGAGGACAACGGAGCATAATGAATGCGATCGATAACTTCTTACAAAGATATTGCTATGTAATTAAATATTTTGCAATAATTACTATTACACGTCTCTTAGCGTGTGCTATTATCAGTTGGCATACTATTTTTAATAAAAAGTTATTATAAATTGTTTAATATTCCCTGTACGCTCCGACTGAGTTGCAGTTTTTTCGCACTTACATAAACTAAGCAATGACAAAATTCTATTCTATATTATCGTAAATACACATACGTTACTAAATAATTTTTTATTTCACTTTGGTAACGTATCTGTGCAAATATCATAAATAATTTTCGCGGACATTGTTTCCATTGTATACATTGCCCCCGGTTTCGCTCGATCGACGTTTCGACGATCACGAAATTCGTACTTTACCTGGCAATTCTGAACATCCCGCAGACATGATAACCATATGATATTATCATTGTTCCGGTGCTGAGCGCTGCGAAGATGCTTACACAAATAGCCGCGTCTGAGTGCAATAGAAATAAGTAAAAATGCTTTTCTCGATCAACAAAGTATTCGTTTATAAATTTCGGTGTGTAAATTGATCGAGTCCCATTCGTAGGCAAAATTATATCGAGAAACTTTGGCCAAAATTGCAACAGGAGAAGTGCAAATATAAGACATATGACAAACACTGAAACAAATAAGAAAAAGAAATGCACATGTTCTTTAGAAAAAGCAATTTTCACGGTATTCGAGAAATATTGGACTTATAAATGATTGGATAAAAAGAATTTATAATTTGACAATTGATTTCCGACATAATGTATAAATCACATTGGGAAAATCATAACATATAACCTGTCAACACAGTGGTATAACGTTTCGCTTTGTTCGTGTATTCCTCGAGAATAGCGATTTCGTTCTCGTCCCTTATCATATCGTAGTTATCCTGCATTTTGTCAATCAAAGTCTTCACCTGTTATTTCAACATTCCTTCTCTTAACATAATAATATGTAACTTCTTGTCCCTCTTCATAACATCCGACGTTGTGAGATGTTTAAGAAAAAGAAAGAAATCTTTGGGAGCAAAACTCAATTTTACAAGATTTATTAGTAGCAAACGTTAATTTTACAGGACTTATTCGTCGTTTATTGTACGAAAGTAAATGAATGGCAGAAAATTCGTAAACTCACCGTTTCGCTGTGGCCGTAGAATGAAAGGTAGCATAACACGCAGCCAGCGAAAAAGAATGTGGTAAAAAGAATTCTAAGAGTAAGATCCATTGTGCATTTCGAAGTAATAAAAACTCCAAGCTGTATATTTCATTATTATCTTATATATAATACAATATTGTCATCATATTATATAATTTTTATGATTTATATATATAATATATTTTGCTACGTTTTACTTTATGCAACAAAAAATCTTGCAGCCAAAGTATTACATTAGAAGAACATATTTTTATTTTACATCAAGTCACAAGTTTAAAATTAATAATAACTGCGTGACCTGACGCGATTGAAATAATTGTTTCGAGTCTAATCACAATTGCACTTACAATATAATTAATACAATATTTTATGTTTAATATAACGCAAAAGAAATGAATTATTATGAATTTCAATTTCAACTAAGTTAATACAAAATAACTGTACTATGAAATTACCAATATACCTGACACAACATAAAAGTTATTATGATGCCGCAAAGCAGACCGAACTGCAATGGAACAAATTTGGATTGCTGATAAGGCCACAAGCCAAGTGTGAGTAGGAGAATACGATTTAGATGGAGACTCGTTTGAACATACTGCGTGCAAATCATCCCTGCGCCAACATCGGAACTTGTTTGACGCTGAGTACATCGAGGAAGGTTCGCTTGACCACCCCTTCTATTCGTAGGTTGATTATCTTATAACTTACCTCTAATTGAGCGGACATTTTAGCATTATGTAGCCAATTTTTTGAATAACTCATAATGACCGCGAAATAACACCGTGAGAATGCAATGCTTTTACTTCGCCAATGTTTTTGCTATATCTGCAATTAAGCGATCAATTTCCCAGAGGAAAATATTTTTCCAGATATTTCTTTGCTATGATATAGGGATTCTCACGGAATATCTTATCCCGCAAAAACTGCGCAAGCGTATTTACGTTCTTCATAGCTGGATGTGTTTCATTCTAACGCAAGCGCCCATACGTTATGTTTTATTTCTAAACTCTATTCGTCTTGTTTGGATCTCGATGTTGATATATCATCTCTCGCGACAGCAGTAAGTCTTCAGAGAATGTATCTACCTGCATCTCTTTAAAACATATAAAATAAAATAATTCGCTGCATATCAGGATATTTTTTGGTTGGCGTAGCAATTTCTTAGAATGAAATAAGTAAACCAACCACGGTCATCTCGGTTGTATTTGATAGCTAGGAATAGAAATGAAAAATACCATAGATTTAATTCTTTTTTTAACAAATTTTTATTTAGATACGTTGCTAGGAGACTACATTGATACTAGATATCTCTAATTATTGTCGTGTTGAATAAATAACGGTGAAGTAAGATAT